TATTAGTACTTAAGTATGTAAAAATTTATTACATTTCATGTTGTACGAGGGTTTTACCCATTTCTCGAACCGTGTCAGAGTGGATCCGTGTTATAAAAGTACCGTGTTATACGGGGGATGGTACCAATTCTCGAACCGTGTTAGAGTGAATCCGTGCTATAGAAGTGCCGTGTTATACGGGGGTTACCTGTAGTTATCATGTTAACATTCCCGCATTAATTTTAACAGATTAACTTTTTAAATAATTTTTATATATAAGAAATTATTAAATAAATTCTAATTAATGTTATGAATTTACATTTTTCTTTTGTTATTTTCCTGGTTTTTATACATAACAGAAAAAAAGTATGACGATCGGTCAAAAATGCCCTCCTCCGAAGATGTTTACGTTTTTTGGACACAAAAAACCTTAAAACGTCAAGAAATGGAAAATAATTCTGGGGTTTTCGGTATGTACGAATGTTAGTGTGTATGCGTGTGGGGGATACGATTTTGTTCACCCTCTTTGCAGCTTAATAACTCCTGTGCCTTTTATCGAAAATTTCTGAAATGTTGCAGGGTGGTTTGTGTATATTAGAGGCATTGATGCTATTAAATTTTGATAGTGAAAGGCCGAGGGGAGGAAAGATAGAAGATTGTCTGTTGGCTGTCCAAACTCACCATTGGCTTGAAAAAAGGCTCGGGAAGTTTACATAATGCATCAGATTAAAACAGGAATGAAACAATCATTCCGCAATTCAAGTTATTATATATTAATGTATTGTAATTTCAAAAATATAACAATTAAAATTAAATGAATTAATTAATAATACTTTATATCCATTATTAATAAATAATTAAGTCACATTGTCAAGACTTATTGTTATAACTGGCAATTTGTGTATTATATTAACAATAAAAACTAAGAATTAATTGCTTTAGTTTTCGCGATGAATACACGAAAAATATCTCTGGTAAGTACTCTTCTAACATTAAATGTTAATAAATTGTTTAAAAACTTAAATGCATTTTCACACTTTAAACAGGAGTCATCTGACTACTCCGAAAAAATGGAAATATTCCTGAAGAAATTGGAAAAATACTCTAAAGTAGGCAATGGTTGTTATTAATGATCATAAGTTTATTTATTTAAAATTCTTTTCCTATTGAGGACATTAAGGGTCTCTTTACATATCTATTATTAATTCGCTAATCTCGGAATAAAAGCGCTTAGAATAAGAGAACATTTATGTATGCGGTCAGGCCCCCTGGCTGTCTGTCTGTCTCTGCCATTAAGTATCATATGTGGATTAGGTTGGATTGAATTGACAAGGTGTTTCCCTCCTGGAAATCTTTTATGGAAACTTGCCACTTATTTAAGTCTGAGACGCATGAAAATAATCAGGAAAACTCGACCTGGCAAGCTGTTGGCGAGAACGAAACCGCGACCATCTACTAATGACCTATTATTTCTGCTTTGTTGATTGATGATAATGAATGTTTCTTCTTTCCTAGCCTTAGCTACAGCAGTTCGTCCATAATATAATTTTTCTTTCCTTTCATTAATTTTACAGAATGGTGGGCTTTTATTCTTCTACCCACCACAGAACACTGTTCATCGGATTCACGCCTCATCTACATACCGCTTTCCCGGTTCTCTTCACATGTCTAACCACAAGTAGAGATCAGTTGCCTATATAAAGTCCTTCAGGAAGGCACAAATGCCCACGTGTTGCATTTTCTTAGCCCATTAAACCAAATCTTTCATTCTACTTCATCTAGTTATAAGTTTTGTATGTCCAATTTCCTGATTACATGTATATTACCTTTCATGTTTTATGTAGAATAATATTTCAAATAGACATCCAAGCTTTTAAATCCTAGTCTTTGTTGAAATTTTAATACCCGTTAGTACACCCTTTCCACTAATGCACGTAACATAACTCGTGACAATTAGCAGTAGTTTATATTATCGTGCATTAGTGGAAGAGGTGTATTAACAGGTATTAAAAATTTCAGCAAAGTTCAGGACGTGTCTCCTTGTTAGTATCGTGCAGCGATCAGCCTGCCTGCACGATAATAAATTTAATTTTAACTGGAAACGATTGAATTTACAAAACTTATTTTCTTTCAGCTATGGCAANTAATGTCACGTTACTAAAATTACTTCTAGAGAAATCAACGGAAGTCAAGCTATGCTCCGTCCAATTTATCATTGGCCAGGCCAGGAAATTTGAAAATTTGGCAGAAATCTTAGTCAAATGCTTACTTCTGCCGAAAGGTTGTTTAACGGAAAGTCTAAGGAAAGAACTATGAGATATGTCGAGGACTCGTAAGTTAATAAGTGGAAGAAAGACGTCTTCGGGTAAGTGAGTGAGGCGATTGAATCCCAATTCAAGAACTTCTAAAGACGATAAATTCTGAAAAACATTTGTGGGAAGTGTTTGCAAACGATTAAACGTTAATTGGATGTATTGCAAATTGATGAGATCATCGAAGATGCCCGGAGGAAGGTCCTGTATTTTATTCACTCCTATGTAAAGTTTTTCTAAATTCTTGCTATTTTTAAAAAGATCTGGCGGTAAATTGACAATTTCATTGGTTGTAAGAAAGACTCCTGTTAAGTTTGTTGCGTCAGAAAATATTCCTATTTCCAAGTGCATTAAACTGCAGTTTATAGCAGCGAAATGTTTCAAGTTTCGCAAACCGGCGAAGAATCCAGGAGGAAACCGTCCTATCTGATTATAGCTTACGGAAAAAACCTCTAATTTTGGGCAGGCAGCGAATAAATTATCAGGAAGTGCAGTTAATCTATTTTCCTGAACGAAAAATGAGATCAAATTCGACAGATCGGACAGCAAGTCACTCGGTAAATTTATCAGTTTATTTCCAGATAAATCCAAAACTTGCAATTCAGTGAGATTCTTGAGAAGGAGCGGATCGATTTCTTCTATTTGATTGTTGCTCAGGTTCAGTATATTCAAATTATAAAGTCCCTGAAATACTTGGCTCGGTAACGTTTCTAAAACTCCATTTTTCAGACTTAATGTTAAAAGACTGGATAAATTTTGAAAGGGTCTCGGCATAAAGGTCCCAAACTCGTAATTCTCGATGTTGAGATACGCAACGGAAGAAACATTTTCAAAGGTCACATTTAACACGCCCGAAGTTCTTAAACCAGTCAATGTTATTGTTCTTAGAGTGGGAATATCATTAAACGTAGCACTAACGAAATTATTCATAACAGTCGACTCGAGGTTAACGAGGACGTCGATAACTTTCACCCCCGACACAAATTGTCCCACATCAAACTCCGACATATAACAATCATTAATATAAACGTGATTTGTACTTTCAGCTTCTAAACATCGCATTAACTGCCCATAAATAGTTTCGTTTTTACAAAACACATAGAAATAACTGCGAATAATTTGAGCATAAGATAGCTTCTCTGTCATGTAGCATCTAGTTTCGGAATTGATGTCTTTCGAATTTATGCATCGATACCCTGTCCATTTTTTCCAGAAGTCCACGCAACCGTACGCCACATTCAGTAGCTGTATTAAGATAAATAACCTCATTAAGTCGAATAGTCACGTTCTTCGAACACAACAATACACTTTAATTAGCTAAACGTTTGCTTAACGTTACCTTTTATAAGCCACCAAAATCCAAATCGATGTAAAATAATTCACAAGTTACATCCTGTTACTTTTGCAATTACATAAAGATGAAGTGTTGCATCACTTAAAGTAAACACTGGTTTAATCACGTGTCTAAGATAGTGACGCTAGAGAACTGTATAAATATTTACCTTTGATAATTGTAAAAAATATACTTTTATAATGAATTATTACAAGTTTTTTGAAGTATTTAAATATTTTATTTGTAAAAAATTACATTAATTAAGAATATTTTAGTATGTTTTTGTTGTTGTAACAGGAAAGGAAATTCCAGTCAGGGAAATTGCCAGTTGCTATTTGTTCATCTGATCTTTCCTGTTATTTAATTAGTCACGTTTCTACTTTCGATGGAAGAAAATGAAACTTTAAACTTTTAAGAATTTAATGAATATTCTGTTACAAAACTTATTGTTCACAAAATGGAGATCAAAAGATAGATGATTGAATTAGTACAGTATACCTCCCCTATAACACTGTTGATACTGTAATTCCGTTTTATATGAATTCCATGTTGTACGAGTCACTTAGATTTTACAAATACGTGAGCCCTTCACAGCCCGGCATACGTATTTGTAAGATCTAAGTGACTCGTACAACATGGAATTCATATAAAACGAAATTATCAACAGTGTTATAGGAAGGTCTACTGTATAACCGTCAATTTCATTTATCCGTTAGCAGAAAATGGCGGATTATTCATGCCCTTTTGTAGTGGAATTCCACTACAAAACATTCCACTAATTCCACAAAAAATTCCATTGTTTTGTTGTCACCGTCACACATTAACCACTACAAAACAATGGAATTTTTCTCTTAAATTGAAATGTTTTTACAGGGACTGTTATACAGGGTGTCCCATAAGTATGAAACCATAGAAGTTATTTATTATTTTACACGTAAAGCATGGTATGTAAGTATGAAGTATGGAGATGGGATAAACTGTATTGATAAAGTGTATGCAAATTTAGTTTCATAACAAATATATAACAATACAGAAAAATATTCAAAATTGTATGAGGCTGCGGGGGGAAGATTTTAAAACGAAATAATGATAATATGAGATATATTATTATCATCTTCATTGCTGCCTGGACTTCCGAGTGATAACAGTCCACGACATGTGGGAGCGGTTGAGTCAGAGGTCGATGCCTCGTTTACAAACAACACAACCCGTTTATCAGACAATTAACTTACAGATAAAGTACAATCGTCACGAAGGTTGAAGTCCTTGTATATTTCGGCGCGTAGTCTTCAAATGAAGAAGAGGAAGATCGGGCGACGAAGGTAGTTTTCATTCGCTGACCGGATGTTGCATTCTAACTCCAGTTCTAACAGGAAACGATGTCCGGTGAATTCAGATCGGAATTTCCGAAGATTCTCTCAACGAAAGTCGATAACTTTTGGAGGATACATCGGCAAGGACGAAGATGTAACCTTGAGGGAAACACCCCAGCGAGGGACATCACGGCAAACAACGAAGTATCTCATTTCATTTCACCACAGTGGAGTAGTATAGCACTCAGCTTTGTCACTCCGGAAGAAACAGGAAGGAAGAGTCGGTCTTATAGAAGACGACCAATCCGAGGAAGACAGAAGAGAGGTCACAAAGTAACCAAAGCCGGTCTTATAAGAGACGACCCCCGCGAGAAAGGGAGACAGAAATGCCTTCCGGGAGGACTTGGGGGAAAGCTGGCCCCTATTCAGGCGTCATTGGCAAGGAGGAAAACCCGGAAAAAACTCCCGCTGCCAGCTCGTCCGAGTGAGGCGCGAACCTCCGATCGAACTCCGGCGTTTNGGGTAGCCCTCCCCCGTACGAACAATAAAGTCAAAGGAACCATACCCCTACGCGCGACCCTTCGCGAGATATAAGCCCCTGAAGTTTCGGCTACGTCATATCCGGTCACGTGACATCGTGGTCAAAAGGCAGTCTACTGCGCGAAAAAAAATTTTAACGCGCTCTCGCGAACACCTTGCTTAGGTCTGTCTCTCCTCGCGCTTCCCCGCTCCGCCTTTGCCGTCTGTCCCTTCTGCGCCGGCCCACAGTCCATGTCACCCGCCTGAAGTCATCCGTAGTCGCCATCTATTGCCTGTAAATATAACTATTCATTATTATTTATTAGTCTTACCTTGGCCGGGCCGCGAACCCGGGTCTATGTTGACTGTAGTCCAAGCCTTTGTCCACTAGTCCAGCACGTCGTCTTACCAGAAACATTTCGGAACTCATATTTGAGACAAACGAGCCCAACGACAGCATTGCGCATGACAGCCAAATCACGTGGTTGTTCCTCAGCCATAGAGATGCAGCGCACTCCGAGAGCCAATGGGACGCGGGTCACGTGACACTCGGACCGTCCCCCGAGGCTACGCAAGCCAATGGGTGCCGACCGCGGGTCACGTGACACTCGTAACGGTTTTCGGCGGTTATATAAGCCGTAGTCTCCTTCATATCCTCGAACCCAATATCGTATTTGTTACTATAACGAACATGCCATATAGTTGTGATATTTCGGCGTCTCCCGTTATGGATCCCGCCACAATATTCAATAATATAACATCTTACAGTTTTCTTCGCTATCNCTAATGCACGTAACATAACTCGTGACAATTAGCAGTAGTTTATATTATCGTGCATTAGTGGAAGAGGTGTATTAACAGGTATTAAAAATTTCAGCAAAGTTCAGGACGTGTCTCCTTGTTAGTATCGTGCAGCGATCAGCCTGCCTGCACGATAATAAATTTAATTTTAACTGGAAACGATTGAATTTACAAAACTTATTTTCTTTCAGCTATGGCAAACATATTCCATTTGCCTCAGCGTAGCGAATAATTATATTGGAAGCCCACATGATTTATGTCCGTGTACAAAAGAAGAATTATTCCTTTATCTAAATAAAGTTTTATTACCTCCGACAGAGAAAAATAAATGGAATAAAATAAAAGAAACTTTATCCCAGTGGAAGGTAAAGTCCGCAAAAATTTTCACTCCTAAATGATGAACAAATTGATTTAAGGGGTGGTCATAAAGTCACTTGACCAACTAAAAGCGAAAAATCCACTGAAGGTTTCGCGGGATAAGTACAAAGTGGCATGCACTCGCGATACACGAAAATAGGGGAAGAACACGTGTCACTCGAAAATTTCAATACAGACACGGGAATTCACGATGCTATAAGATTTTTCGTGACAGGCTACAGCATAAGGTATTGAAACGGTGTGTAGTACGAAAAGCAACAGAAATATGGTTATATTTTCAATTGGCTATTAATATGCCAGAAAACCAAACTTATCACGACGACCGCAAATGACTTTAAGGTGACCGTTTTATCATTTCACTTTAAATTCATATGTGGTCATTTTGATAAGTTTGGTTTTGAGGTATATTAATAGCCAATTAAAAATTTAACAGTTATCCAAACAACAAGCGTTTCATACTAGAATATCGGCGTTTAAACAGTGGAAAGTGAGCGAGGCAATAGCCGCGATAGAAGATCCCGTACACGTTCGAGGACTTGGGAGTAAACGCAAGAATGCACGCTTTCTGGAATTCCACTCGACAGATGCTTTTATACAAGGCAGCTTACGTCACAGTATGCTTTAACTAAGATGCTGCTGCCTCATCTGCGAAAGTGTATGGATCTTCTTATCGTTCGTTATTGGCTAGCCCACTTTCAATTGTTCACACATCTCTTGTTATTTCTTGTTCTATACACACCTTCCAACGCCTTATGCTTTTTCCTTTATGCAAAATCTCATAATTTCATGAAATTCCGGTGTTTGTATCGGAAATTGAAAAAACTTGTTTTACCTGAGTATTTTCGTGTATCGCGAGAACATGTTACCCTGTACTTATCCTGAAAAAGTTTCAATGTATTCCTCACTTTTCGCTCTCCCGAGATCGTAGTTGATCGATCAAGTTACTTTATGACTATCCTGCATAATAAACGATTATATTTAGTTGTGTTTTCTTATAGAAACCGGTCATTGGGTTAAAACTTACCATCGTTTCCGCTGACTTATTGAAATCGGACGAAAGTCAAAGTGAGTTTGAAATAATCTGCATATAATTAACGATTTCATATTATGTTTTCTTGATGGGGAATAATCTTATTCAGATGAGGAAGTAAGTTCTTACTGCATTGTTTGGACCAATCCAAAAGAAAAGAAAATAGCAAAAATTCCGAAAACTAATGACCGTTCTTCTTGCAAGGAAACTTTGCTTCTGTAAATACTTATCCCGTACATAATTTGTAAACTATTTCTACATTAATTGATTGCATATCTATAAAGTTTGCATAAATGCATACGAATGCGGTCGGATGAAGGAGGTGGGCCTGGCCGATCTCGCGAAAGATATCAGTTAAAAGCCACTCTTTGAAACCGCCAAACACTGGTTGTTGCTAGTTCGTATCTTATCCACGTTGATTTTTCCGGATTTTTTTCACGTGCATATCACCTAAACAGTCGCCAGTTTTCCAATGAAAGTCATAATGTGAAGAACCCCCTTTGCAGATCGTCTACGCATTGAGTTGACTTAGTTCAGGAACCCCCTAACCATGGCTCACGACGAGGATTTATCGGCCCCAGTTGCTTCTAGACAATTAAGATAAAGTACTTTTTTAAATCGCGATTTACACATAATATTTATAATGTACTTTCTTACTTTTTAATAAAGTTTTATGATTAGTTTTATTTCAATTTGCATATACGTGCTATTTGCGTGTCATCACACAGATACACATGTATATGGAAATTGAAAATGCTATTGTCGAAATTAGTAATGTGGCTTTCCTCTTAAAAAGTTTTGGAAGACCTGACTTAATCCAATCCAATTGTAAACAGTACTATTAATACCAAAAAAACAAATCATGAACTATACTTATATTAAATTATTTGCAGAGAGAATGTTTCCAACGAAAGGACTTTAACAATTCAACTCTGGTAAGTCGAAAACAATAGTTGATATTCTAAATATATTTTAGAATACTCTTGAATATAATTTACATTATTTAATAAGAAATAATTTGCAGGAAGAAAAATGCCGATTCGGCAGCAAAAAATGTGAACAGAAAATCTTTCATCAGAAAGTAAAATCTTTTCGTTAGTAATCCTTAAACGTACATTTTCATTTCAAATATGTGATAACACAACTTCATACGTTTTCACAGAATATTTAGATGTAAGAATATGGAATCAAGAGATAATTTCGTTTCTTCGGCCGAAATTCCCATTAAAGTTAGGAAAATTACAATCATTTTATATTTTATTGTTGATAACAATCTAACTGTTTTATTAAACTAAAAGGAATTACCATTTCTTCAAAATACCGGAGATACTGAAAATGCGATTACGGTATTTTTTAAAGCAGACAAGATCACGTCTCGAGGATCGTTGGTAATTAATTATGAATTTAAAGCTGAAAAGAATCGTTCATTTGCTCCTGCAATTGAAAACCATATTAATTTGTGTCGATTATTTTTATTGAAAGACATCAGAATAACCGAAGTGAGTATTCAATAATCAAATAATCATCTGCTCTTAGCTTTTGTGCCCAATAGTGGTCGTATGGGTAACATTACGGAACACTGATCACTAGGACGCGCATGATCAACTGGAGTTTTTTGGGGGTATCTTCTCATATGTAGTACTTAAATAGGGGCCAATTACCCTTATAAATTCTTTTTTGAAGATTTCCGTTTGCTAATCGCCCATGTGTTGCGTTTCATCTCCATATGTTAAGTTATTCGCTCGAATTCGCGCTCACTCCACCAGAGCGGTAGGCTGAACCGCTCGGTCATCACGGATGATCTTGTGGTGTTTGGCTACCTAGCAAGAGCGGATAAAACCACTGAACAATGATTTTCTCCACTGGAAAACAGTTGATTGCGGTTTCGTGTTTTTATCAATGGGATATCAGTATGAAATTTTACAGGTATTTTCAAATGTTTAATACCTAAATGGGGACCAGTTTCCTGTAGAAATACTTTCCGGAAAGCATCTTGTCCTTGGCAAACCATTCTTGTACTTAAACCATCAAACCAAACCGTCTGGTGGGAATAAAAACGCATGGAAAAACTATCTCCTTTTAGGTTCAGATTAATGGTCCCAGCATTCTACCATCAATTTAATACATTCCAATCCAAACGACTTAATAACAGTGTTTGAACATTGATTAATTTACCATATTCATTGTTTCAGCTCGGTTACGAAGACTACGAATATTTACATGGAGCCTTTGATCCGGAAGGTTGGACTTTTCTAATGCAACATGGCGTACAATATGGACTCTTTCCTATAGATCACTACATCTGGTACAACTTAGTATTTCACGTAATTTATGTCTTTATTAGTTATCAAATTATAAAAATGTAATGCTTGTGTTAATTATTTGCTCCTGTAAAGTGTATGGTTTTGTATGCGACATTACCTAAACGACAAAAATTTAAGTTATAACTTCATCCTTTATAACAACGTTCTGCATAACATCAACAATAAATTAACATTAATTGAGGATCAGTCAACCTTGAAATCTTCATTGAGAAAAGATTTATCTATTTTTCAAGAACATTGTCTGGATTATTTGAGAAATTTACACGAAATATTTCACTTGAAGGATGCACAAAATCGACTTCAGTTTCGTTCACTGTTGAGGTACAGTCTCGAATTTATCTCGAAAATAATTAATTTCTTGACGACAATACAGTCGACCCCCCTATAACACTGTTGATTATTCCGTTTTATATGAATTTCATGTTTTACGAGTCACTTAGATTTTACATATACGTGTTTCGGGCTGTGGATGGCTCAGGTATTTGTAAAATCTAAGTGACTCGTACAACATGGAATTCATATAAAACGGAATAATCAATAGTGTTATAGGGGGTCGACTGTATTTTAAAATCCAATTTTTTATTGCAGATTAATAATTAATTTTGGAGCTTTTGACAAACGTATGGAACGGAATGTGATCAAAGCTATCAAGGTGTATATAAATATGAATATGATTAGGAATTATTATTTATTAGGGCGAGTCAAAAGAAGGTGAACAAATGGCACTTTTCGAAAATTGTAGGTTAAAAGTGACTACCATCAGCTTTGAGGCGTTTGTCTCATTGAATAACGAATGTAGTAATTCCATAATCAGAAATCTTTTAGTTTGTGCTTTAGGAGATTTTGAAGTTCTGCATCCTCGGATCCAGAAATATGCTTCCTGCACCTTTTCAACCGAGCCGAACCTGCAACCCTTCGGATGCTTTTTCAATACATTGAACACATGAAAGTAACATGATAAAAGGTCTAGACTGTAGGACGAAATGCAATTAAGAATAAGCACGAACACTTATTATTAATTACAAGTCTCGTATATTGTAATCCTCTTACCCGACACTAAAAGATTGCCCATTGCAAATGTATCTCCTAACAAACTTGAGAACTATGGGAAATTTTGCAGCACCCACTCTACAGTCCGAGTGTTGTCAATGAATGGCAAAGGGCCATTTATTGACAGCACGTGTGTTCGGTGAATTGAAAGAATATCCGAAAAATATCAGGCTCTACTTGGATTAAGTGGTGCAGGAGATTGTTAAAGACTTCCTAAAGCAGAAACCAAAAAAAATATCTACGGAATCACCAGGCTCATTATCTAAAAGACGACTCAATGCTCAATGATCATTACTTATACTTACAGATAACAGTTTGCGAAAAATTACGTTTGCTCGCTTTTATTTGACTCATTCTTACATTACTTTCTTCATGATTTACTTATTCACCGTATTCATTAATTAACTTATATAGGAGGATTTTCGTATGTATTTTAGAAAAAAATTTCAATTGTTAGAAGACAATCAATTTGTAAGTTTAGTTTAAGTGTATAGGCAAAACGTTTTTGTATAATTTGATGTTTAATCGATAGCAAAATATTTTAAAAGGATGAACTGAAAACTGAATTAATAGAAAAAATCGCCTTATATCTTATAAACGATTTGGAACAATTAGATATTCAATTCCAAAAGTAAGTGAATATTTTTCTACAGTATAAACATCTTAACTACACCCGATACATACCTTCAATTGCCGTATAACATCGGGCTTTAATTTGCCAAATTATATACGACTAGAAATTTTACTAGAAATTAAATATGTCAATTTTTTATGTAAACCCGAGTAAACATGATGTAAGCATCTCCGACACGGGTGAATTCACTTTCTATTTCTCATCAGTTGAATTATAAAAAAAGTTTATGGGTTGATAGTATACAACAACACAACACGAGAAGAAGCAATGCCTGTCGCAAAACTTTTATACAAAACAGGCGCAAACCCTGGCCCAACTATCAGTGTTTAGTGGTTTATCTATTCAGTTAACATTAGGCTAGATTTAAATGTGTTGGCGTTGGCATCCAAGGTGATGAAAGAGTAAACCTATCTCTCCGGGAATGCGGGATCGAAGTCCTACAGGAACTACTTTTTCTAATGAGCAGACTGTCCCTAATATGTAGGGCCAGTCTCTTTCTACTCGGCTATCCCCGTTGTGGGTCTGGCCAAACTCATGTTGGATAGGATTTAAACGACCTCTTAGTGAAGACAAAGCCAAAAAAGTGTTAATCTTTTATTGTTTAATCTTAGTAATTAATTTTCTTTTATAATTTAACCGATAATTAATATGTTACTGAGATATTACTAAACAATGACATATTTATTTTCTTGGAATTTTCTAAATTAAATCAATTGTTTTGTAATCTTTGTTAACTTTTAACAATTAACATTGTATTTTCAGAGCTTCTAGTAATTTTTATACATACACGAAATTTGTTTACGATGAAGTTGACGATAAGGTAAATTTTAGAAATTATTTCAGTAATTTTTAACTTTACAATTTCATTTGCATTGATAATGTACTGAAATTACAGATGAATGACGTAATTGGTGTTCACGTAAAAAAATTATTGAAGAAATCAATCACGAAAAACCAATTACGGAAATTACAAAAGATTTCCAACGCATTGACAAAACTTATAGAATATCTTCTAAAGAACATCGATGACATCAGGTAAAAGACTTTCAGTAATTAAAAATTGTAGCAATGTTGACTCTCCACATAACGCACTTTTTATTTTTGTCTTATTTTGCCCCGTGGGTACTAAGTGGGGCTTTTTAATAATATCAGCATAGGTTTCACTAAACACTGATAGCGGATTATAGCTTCACACCGCAGCAACGCGTAGTTACATAGAGTTTTCTGGATTTTCTTCATATATAAGTAGAGACGAATTTCCCATAGAAAGTCTTTTTAGTAGGCAATTCCCACTTGTCAGATCGCCCTCGTGTTGCTGCATCTAGGAATTTTTCATGGGATCGGATTGGACTGATGATGATATTTCAATTTCTTGAAGCTTTTTGCCAATATTTGATCTCGAGTCTGTCAAACTGATAGACTGACTTTTTAACTGGTTCGGCCGGATATAATGGATTAACATAAAGAAGTGTGATCAGATAATTGCAAAATTCTATTATATCCGAAGATGTCTTAATTATAAAATAAACCTCATATGGTATGCAATACGATTCATTGGCTAATGTATTATAACACATGGCAATTTGTCGTGGAAGGACACTACTGAAATCTGGCTCCTACTTTGACGATTTATTCGTTTTCATCCGAAACCCTTACAATAGC